GAAGCCCAACGTAGCCGTATACATACACATTGGTGTTTGTGTATTTGTGTGTGTGTTTGTGTGTGTATAAATTCAGATGCTGTGCTGATAAAGCTGCAAAGTTAACGTTCCGTCCATTTGTCCGCCGGTTCGTTCCTCCACCCGTGGGTCTGCTGCCAAGTCAACACTGGCGCTTTATCCGTTATTTCATCAGCACAACATCATCATGGGAGATAAGCAGCAGTTAGTGAGGGGCAGTCAGTCGAGGCCGAGTCGTTGCTTGGACTTTTATGACGTTGTCCCTGTCACCGTTGCTGTTGTTGTTGTTGTTGTTGTTACCAACACAGCATTGCCAGTCTCGTTTTATGAGTGCTGTTCAACCTGCCGCTTGTCTTCTGCACTTGCGAGAGGAATTGCCGGCTCAACAACAAAATGCACGAAATATGCAGAAATAAGGTGACAGCAAACAATTTTAGTGGTTGGCTTTTCTTATATTTTTTTCCACTTGTATTTTTTTTAATACCTACATATGTATGTCCATACATACAAAAAATATATGTATTTTTTTACAACACTCGCGCCGAATCAAGAGATGTGAAGGAAACAGGTACATTGCCCGATTTCAGAATGTCAACGACTGTTAAAGTGGTGCAAAAACAACAATAAAATAACATCAACAGCAGCAGCAGCAACAGCCAACAAAAAACAGCAGCCATGGCCACGTTGCACTCAGATCTGTGTTATCCACGGCAATCCAATTATTTGCTTTTGCGAGCTTAAAACCTAAACAACAAAATTATGAGCCATGGCAATTCAGGAGCTTATGCTTTTATATATGTACATACAAACATACACATGATTGTATGATTGTATTCAATTTTGTGGCACGGTGATGGCGAACATATGTTTTGATTGCGAGATTAGCATGCGATATTCAAAGAGAAAAACTGTGTACATGGAATAATGTACATACATATGTATGTACGTATGTATGTATGTATGTATATTGGTTTGTTTGGGGGTATATCTAAGCACACAGGTTGGTCATGTCTCTGTCTCTGAGTGGGCAACAGAGTCAGCGGCAACAGCAGCTGTTGACATATGTTTTTAGATTTATCAGATTTCATCTCTCAGTTTTGGCGCATTGCATACCACTTATTTGTTTTTGAGAAGCTCTACTTCAATTAATTTTTTAATTTGAAATGTTGAGTGCTCGAAAGGTGTGCAGGTATCCTGTTAAAAACTTAGTTTTTGTCGTTCTAATTAAATATTTTAAATTTTAAATTTTGTATGCTGACTTGTTTAAGTATTTAAGATATAACAACAATTATACCTGCACAAAAACGTTTAATCAAATGAATTTAAAAAGGTGTGTAAACTTGCCAAATTACAAATAACTAAATGACAAAGTAGCTTACATACATATGTATGTGAATTTGAATTAGCAAGCGCCTAACGAGTGCATGTGTTCATACATATGTCGACATATATTATCTATTTTAAGCAAATAAATTTGTAAAAATGTAAAGTGCTTAAAATTGTGCACTTGTTTTACAATTAACAATAAAAAAAACCATAATAAAAAGCTCAAAAGGCTGTTATGCACATGTGCACAAATAAATGTCAAAATTATTGCATTTTTTTTATTAAATGTTTAGATAAATCATTAACAATAAATATTTGGGCATAAAAAGCGACAGTTATACAAAAACCTAGGCCTTTTTCTTCTCACAATGACTGCACTTTTAATGAACTTTAAATAGCGTTTTAGAAATTAAACCAAACATATTTTTTTCTATAACTTTAAATATTTAAAATCAAGCTGTAAATAGAGCCTTATAACTTAAACCACACATATTTTTTGTTCTATAGCTTTACATATTTAAAGACAAGTTTTTGCCTCTGTAAAGGAAATGTAAGTAGATTAATTTTGCGTGGCTCGTCTCTTTGTGCCAATTCTAATTACCGTAAGGCATATTACACGTAAATAACTTGTTCCTTAACAATTTATAGCTGCTAACAAGTAATTTAAATCAAATTTGATATGACTATGTCCCGGACACATGTTTTTCTTGTATTTTATGCGATTTGTTATTTCTTTTGATGTGTTGTTTTTTATTTATATTTTGCCTAAATGAAAAATGCGCCCATTTCAATTTAACAAAACATGAATTTATTTTATATACTCGAATGCTTGTGTGTATATTTCTGTGTTGATGATTTTTCACTGGAGCAGCAGTTGACACCATCATACCCCGCCCCGCGCCGTGACAACCCTCGATCGTACACACCCACAAAATTTAAGTTAACGGTGCATAAGGGCATAAATATGGCCCCTGCTCGCGTCGTCGACTTGGCGTTGTCATATTTGACGTCTGCAATATAAATCAAGAAGGAATGTGCACATGTAGAAGAGAGGGGACCATTCGGGTATGTGGAAAGGGGGGAGGGGGTCGATGTGCAGCAGCCGTTTGATTTGATTGATAATGCCTACAACTACAACTGCAGTAAAGCGGTTGCGACGGAATAAACGAAATGAAACATTACCATAGAATGGATTGTTGTTGTTGTTTGGTATGATATGACATGGCGGACCAGGCCGCCAAGCGCAGCACCATGCCCTCCAACTGACAGATCTCTCTGCTCTCTTTGCTTGTTTTGGGGCCTGTCTCTTTATGTACCAGTGCTGTCAATTTAGCCCTTTTTCCGTCAGTACTGGAAATTTTAAAATCCCGATAGCGGGAATATTTGAAATTTGATAAATAAATACTACCGACAAAATGTGCAGTTAGGACAGATCAGTGTTAAAATGAAGACATTTAGCTTAAGAATTAAGACATTGCAGATCAGGCCATTATGTCATTTAAGAGTCATTGAAATAATATGCATTTTACATATTTTAAATAGAGTCCAGCATGGATGTTTCTTTCCATTTGAATATATTGGTCCACAGCTTCGTTGCAGAATCATTATATAAATATATGTAGACTAATTTTAAATGTTTATTAATATGTATGAATTCCATAAAAAAAAAATAGTTGAAACGTATTGGAACAGACTTCTCACACCCAAAAAGAAAACAACGAAAATGGAAATTATTTTCTTACGGATGATGCAAACAATATAAACATCAGTTTGATTAGCTATTTCTAGCTTGTTCCAGTTGATGATCTAGCTTTTTCTTAGCTCAAGAATTTGTAACATTGCTACGTACTTAAATATACTCTGTTCGTTTGTTTGCTGGCGTATGAGTGAGTGCAAGCGGAGCGAAGCGGTTGCGCTGACTGCACGGGGATCAGACACGACGACCCCAACAGCAACAACATCGAGCGCCGCCGCCAACTGAAGAGATTGTCGCTGCCGACGCTCCCGATGCTGCTTCTGTTGTTGTGTTTGTGTGTGTTTTGAAATATGGAGCGGTAATAAATGTCACAAGAATCATTTGAGAGGAAATACGAGTGACGAGCGTGACTTGCATTGAATTTATGGTGCGTCGAGCAGAAAGTTAAAGGTTGCGTAGCGTGTTGGGGAGGCGCATGAATGAACAAATTTTCTGATTTACGCAAAGGCGACAATGACGACAGGTGAGTTGGACAAACCTAGAGCCCTGTTCCGCAGCGAACCTTCAATTGATGCACAATTTCTAACAATTTCTAACAATTTTAAACAATTTTGTGTAGTCGAAAGCTAAAAAAACAGCCAAGTATGTATTAATTATTTGCAAATATGGGATAGGCGCTACAGGGTTTTCCGGGCCGGGTAGGTTCCCCTTATTTATTTCAATTATTTTTCATATTTACAACAATGACGGAACATCAACTTAGCTTTGTAAACAAAGAACAGCTGATTTGTGATGCTATTTTCCGATGCATGCCAGTGGAAAATGGTTTTCGCATTATTTTTTGCAATGTGTGTTATGTGCTGTGCTGGAACTTGAGTCTTAGAGGCAGAGGAAGAGGCAGAGGCAGGTGTTGCTTGCATCACAGAATTGTGGTCGAGCTTTTTTTTTGCGAATGCTCGTTGGCATGCTGCAGCTCTAATTGCAGCTTGCAATGCGCGCTGAAGCAAACGGTCGCTTCAGCAGTCGCCGGGCAACAAATTGTAGGTGTTATCGTGGTGGCAGCAGCAGCAGCAGCAGAAGCTTTCAATTGAAAAGAAATGGTAATGGTTGTGTATGCTGTTGATATTTGGCATAATTATAACCTGTTTCCATTTTGTTGCTGCTGTTCTTGTTGTTGTTGTTGTTGGTCTTGCTAATTTCGCGTGTTTGTTGCACGTTGCCTCAGCGCGTGAAATCGCATTGCCTCCTGCCCCGCCAGCAGCAACAACGGCACCCACCCAAGCGCTCAGTGTCAACTCGAATGGTGGCACTGCCTATAGCGTGCACAGAGAGGTGAGCGAGCGTACAAGCGGCGTTCTTGAGAATGCGGCGGAATGCAAGCAGAACACACGCAGGCCCATTCATCCAGCCAGAGCCACCAAAGCCGCTAAAGCCAGCCGGATAGTCAAGCGGTGGCGTATGTGAGTGTCAGTGTGTGTGTGTGTGTGTGTGTGCGAGTCTGAGTGTGTCTTCGTTGCGGTCTGCTTCTCGCGTGGCCGTCGCCGGAGCTGCTCAGCCTTCGCACAGTGGGCCAAAATGGGCGCATTCTCATATAGATTGCATGCTGCACTTGCAGCCACTTGGGCCGGTTGCGCTACTGTGCCGACTCGACTCTACTCGACTCAACTCGACTCGACTTCTGTTCGTAAAACAATGACGGGCACGGGCACTGGCACTGGGACTGGCTTTCGGAAAACAACAACTGCATACATAAATATGTATGTATTTCATTTGCGTGTTTGGAAATCATTTTCTAGTCAATGTCTTGGCATGCAGTTCGAGGGTTTATCTGATTCATCAACAGTCACAGACAGCAACAGTCCAAGACCTGAAACCGACCCCAACAGGCACTTCCCAGAAGCTGATGTTGCCATCGCTGGCCATGGAGCGGAATTGCTGGGATGTGCTGAGAGCGACTTACCTATAATAATCGTTTTTGCAATAAATGTTGCCATCACGTGAGTAACATGAGGATTCCCGTTCCAGCGGCTGCCGGCATGCATAGCACTGTAGGCAACTGGCGTGCCAGCGCTTTTCCACAGCGGAGAGGTAGAAACGATCCTGCAAAAGAACAACAGCAATAAACAATATGCATTAAATGTTTCCACTAAGGCAAGGATCCCCAACCAGGCAACCAGGCGATAAGCAACAAGTGGTCTTTGGAAAATAAATGTGGGTGTTAAGGTGTAAATGATATTCAACATTTATTAGCCAGTTCGGCAAGTTTCATAATTAATTACTCTTCCAATATTTTACGGAACAAAACAATAAGAAAATGTTTAAATTCTTAAATGGCAAGACCAACCATTTGAAGTCGGATGCCCTTAACAAAATTCAATATTTACTTTCAATGTGGCATTGATGTTTGAAATCTTCCTAAAAATCAGCTTAATTAATTCTCAATAAGATTACATGAAGAAAAGCTACTAAGCAACCTCTATTTGGCTGACCTCTTCGCAAAAGGATAACAAACCTCCATTCAACTAGATTGTGCTGTTTAAAGATTACAAACAATTTTCGTCACCACCATATAAGAAATATCTACTAAAGGAGCTAAAGTCTTAGGAGTGCGGGTAAAGTAAATTACAAAATTCCGGAGTGGAAACTATGTTATCCGGTCACTAAGCACTTTTATCAGTACCTCAAAAATTCGCTAACTTAGTAAATTCTTCCTCCTCGATTTCAACTATTGTTAACTTTTTTAATACCTTTGGGAGCTCAAATGCTTTTCGAGCTGTAAATATGAATTTTCATAAAATTTTATAACCAGAAATGGAATTTCAATCATCGAATAAGTAAAATAAGGCTCAATAAAAAAGCTAATAAAAATATAAATAAAGAGTAATGCATATTTTGATTTAGAAGATCCATCATTTAAAATGTTATGTCCCTGTAAGCAAACTGATAATGTTGAGGCTATGCCTGATAAAAAAATTCGCAGATATTTAATTGCATATATTTACGAGTTAATGAATTGATGAAATAAATATTATTTTTGAATTTGTGTGAAGATTTACTGCTTTCTTTTTGTATAAAATCTGTAGCCTTCAAAAAACTCATATTAAATTCTGCGGACTATGATAGTAAGAATTACATACAAATATCAAGAAAAAAAACTACTGAATCTGAATAGACCTTTTCTGGAAACCCCATTAGTAAACTTTAGCAGCAACCGTATTTTTCCTAATCGCATTAAGTTTTATATTTATTCATTTTTTTCGTTTTGAATGGCCGTTGAATATTCGAGTTGAAGTTTGAGAATACTATTATTATTTTAATCTGTAACATTTATATAAATACACCTAATTCTGTTTTTACGCAGTCCTTTTTTGCACGTTTTTGATTTAACACTGTTTGAAAATTAAAAATATGGTTCCACGACTTTATTCCATTTAGCACGATTCAAAATAACATATGATAAATGTATTTTTTTACACGGTTTTTTTACACGACTTTCTCTGGAACCAATCTACCGCTTAAAAACAGAATTAGTTGTATGGTTCTAAGTATGATTTTTATCCATTTTTTTGAAAGTAATAAGGCAGGATTACCTAAAGCTATACAAGATCTCATCATAAAACAATACATATCTTTCACGACTTGACTATAAAATTGATAAATTTGATCAGAAATCGGACTTATATTTCTAGCAATCTCGACCTATTATATAGTATGTAAAGGGGGACTATAATCTTTTGCTAGCAATAAAAAAAATTCCACCCACTTTAAGCAAAGAATCCGTCGGAAATATCTCCACTTACCTGTATTTGTCGTCCACAGCCTGCGCAGTCATCGGCATTGCGCGTTACCTTGCTATCATTTGTTGATTCAGGACTGCTCGGTGGTCCATAGGGCTCCGTTTTGAAGGAGATGCCCGACGTGGTTTCGTCGCTCACCTCCGTGCAATCCGTGCGACTGCGACTAATTGAGAATTTCGCCGTTGAGTCCTCGAATGTGGCACGATCGGCGGTTTCATAGCTAAGCAAGTAAACGAAATAAAATTGAATGATAATACGAGCTTTTGCAATATTACAAGTAAATCTAACTTTTGATGGCTACCTTCTAAATGACTCGCTGCCGTATGCATTGCCAAATGGCTTTGTACTGTGATCACAAATATCTGGACACGAGGATGAGGAGCATGTGCGAAACAATGGATGATTGTTATTTGCACCTGCAGCACTGCCGCATTGATTGCTCCCTTGATGTGCTACAGGTGGTGTTGGACTTTTCTCCCTTGCGCCGGGCCCAAGAAATCTTGCGCTCTGCTGCTGCAATTTCATTTTAAAAATAAAAATAGAGAATGCAAATAATTAGTTAGTTTTCTTTTATTGTGGTTCAAGCATTTTGTGCCGCAAAGCAAACTCAAGCTCTTAAATGGTTCATTTCAGCTGAACTCAGCTCTGAAATTTTTCACAAATTTTATGGGAGGAATAAAGGATTTCCAGCCCACAAATGATGTATGCAAATTTCAATGGCGGCAAAGTTAAAGTTGAATTTAATTACAAAAATAAGAAAATATGTATGTTTTTCTGCGAAAATGTTGCGCGACATTTGAAGCTCACGAGCATGTGAGGGGAAACCCACGCCAGCCCTCAAGTCAAGAACAAATGATGCCAAACAGCATTCATTGAAAAAAGAAGGAAAATAAGAGACCCAGGGCACACACTATGATCATACAATATTGTCGAGTACAACAGACTTGGCATGTACACATACGTAAAATATATGTACGTGTATATAGACGGACAGATATGTCGCAAATTGCAACACGAAGTAAAAGATTTTTCATACGCAGCCATATTTTTGTTGACTTTTGTCGAGAGCGCACGTCTCGCCTCGCTACGAATCATCGATGCTCCAGTTTACTTATTTTTGATTAATTAGTTGAAAATAGATTTTACACAAACGCACACACACACACATACTATACTCCTATATGTTGCAGCTGCATCTGTCTGTGTTTTTTAGATTTCAGTGCTTCAGTTAGAAGGATGACAGGTTTCGGTTTCTCACACTTTCCAAAACAAAAAACAGAAAAACGTAATTCTCTTCGCTAATTTTTTGCAATATTTACAGCGAACGGATTTTAGTTTCGCTGTTTGCGAAACATGTTTTTCCCTTTGGGGTCGGACTGCCTCTAAAATGTGGTCGTGCACACATTTCTGGCTGCCATTTTGGTCAGACTCTTGCACCATCACCGTCGAGTCTCAAATCGCCAAAGCCAAACAAAAAACCACACCAGAAACGCCATAAAAATGACATCAAACTGCCATTTAGTGCCATGATTTATTCCGAAACGATGGCTTCATTCGATCACATAAAGCTCGTAATGTAACACATTCCTCTTTATTTAAAGCTAAGCCCGTATTGGGTAAAGTGTGGATTACAGAATTCCATTCATAACTACAAGTATAACAACATTGCTTGTTGGAATTTTTACTAAGGTATCTAAAGGTCCAACACCCAAAAAACGCCGAAATGTTAGACAAATTATGGAGAAAAAGGAACTTCCTTTCAGGAATCATGTTCACAATTAAAGATTGGACAGAACTTGTTGTCTCAGTGTGAAGGACTAAGATATTCGAGATAATCATTTGGAAGGTCATAGCCTAAATACCATTGAAAGAAATGCTCTTATGCAAAAAATGAGAGCGTCGCAACTTTGCAAGACAGGTTTTAGTGCAGAACATGACTTTAAGCTAACAAATTTTCTAGATCCATCGTCTAACATAATAAACCTAAATTTGATCTGAAAACTCTGTAATCTGTTTCTATTACTTCATCCTGTTAAGCAAATTTTTTCATTATCTTCATCATACATTAAAATGCTGTACTTAATAGCGTTTTTCATCAAATAACATATTCTATATATATTATTTTAATAAGGTTTACGATTACCTTCATTGTGAAAAATAATAGTCAGCCGTTTTTCTTCATTTTTAGTAAACACTTTTCAAATGAAAATATCTCGATTCCAAACAACTTGGGAAAACTAATGACGTTCATAATAATGTTCATTGCAGATTTGTGCGATAGAAATGGCAATAAAATATGTCCCTAACTGAGAAAGCATCAAACACGTAAAGTGGTTTGTGGTTTACGGCGATTTGTATATTTACCAAGTATTGTTTGCTTCCGACACTCTGCTGGTTATATAAAAATAGTAGAAAAGGACAAAACACGACCGTCCGGTGCTTACACCTTATCAATAAAAAGCTGCTTTACCAGTCTGGTGTAATATGTACGACGAGAGCCCCTTACCTGATGCCTTTAATTTAGGATTATAACTTTCAGGAAATTATAAATTATTGTTTCAAAAAATACAGCGCCATTTAAATTTAAGATTTAAATGTATCTGTCAATTCCAGATATAGTCAACCCTCCACTTTAAGTCCCCATCCCACTTGTGAAAATTTGACGCCTTGTGTGATGCGGCTTATTCCTTTAGCTAGCTTTAGCTCAGTAGCTACTGAGTATAGAATTGGAGAGAATATTTCCGGATGCACATTTTCAGAATACTATGTAGGTATTATTCAGTGCATTTTTTTTCGAGTTGTCTCTTGCTCTGGGTTTCTGGAATGCGCTAATTGTTGATTTAATGGATTATTATAAACCTAAAAAATTTGCAATACCAATAATTTCAAATTTCAAATGCCACATAGTTAAAAAAAAATTTTGGAATAGAAGAGAAGATTATTTTCTTATAGCGTCCCTTTTGAGAACAAAAAAGAATATGCCTTTTATTATATGAAGTTCATAAACACTCTATAAACACTCTATTTGTAAGTCTGTCAAACAAATCAGGAATTATCATTCGTACAGCAGTTTCCGTACCACACAAAATCCCAAATTTATCGAATAAGTTCATCACATGCTTGCATTTTGTGAAAATATAGCAAATGCATCATACAGAAGAATACATTAGATCGATTCAACTAAACTGAATGTCTGGCTTCGGTTTTTATGGGAATGTAAAAATTATAATTTCATACAGAAAACCCAACGGTGAAAAGTTGTAAGATAAAACAATAAGAGATCACTTTAAAATCTTCTAGTGAAGACAATAAGTCAAGAAATCAAATAAAATCAAACAGGTAATTACGGATCAGCACTAAAGACTGCGAACAAGCACCAATCACCAAACAAACATCATTGAACAAAAAGCAAAAACATTATCATAACACAAAACATACAACTAAATAGAGACTGGATAACCTCACGAAATGAAATGAAATTTGTATTATCACTTTGGTAAAAAAAAAAACGTCACTCCCAATCAACAATAGCTACAAAGGAACCAAGGAATCGAAGATGTATAGCAATGATAAGAGAAAACCTAGCATCAAGATTGAACTTTTAGAAAAATGCTTGAAAACTTAACCAAAAAAAAAAAAAGATATTAAAAGAAGCAGTCAGTGATCGGAAGGTAGAAAATTTAACGCCATAGGAAGGATGGATTTTAATGAGGACTTCAAAAATGTTAATAAAATTACACACTATACGAGTATATATGGAAGCAAATTATTATTATTTAAATTATTCAAATTATTATTTAAATTTCAATTATTTAAACAAATCTAAAAAGGTTATCTAAATTGTTTGGTTTGTTTGCTTTCAACTTTCAAAATTTGGTGATAGATCTGGTCTTTATATTTTTCAAGTCCTGCCCATTTAAAATTAGTTTAGTTTAGTTCAGTTTTTTTTAAACTTGAACGTATTGAGTTTTTTTTTTTGTCTATTATTCTTGTTGCAGATTCCAATTCTCACAAATTTGTGGCAATCTGTTTGACCGGATTTTCCTTTTCGATTCGATTGTAATGGTAGCAACAACCGCCTTAGACATCTCGATTCTATGCTTGTAAAAGCATGTTGTAGGTGGATCGGAACTATACGTTATCAAAAACGTCCCCGCCTAAAATAAATTGGTGCTTCATTATATATTAAAAGTATCTCATATGTTCTAAGAGAATTTGTTATTATAAATACTGCTGTACCTATATATACTTGTATATTCGTAAATTTATGTAAATAATATGTATATACTTGTAGTATATATATACAAGTATATATACATATATGTTATAGAAATCTGTGCTGAAACTGACAATAACAAAGCGGCAAAATACGTATACATATTGTATTTAAAAAATGCGCAAGGGGTTCTCTTATCGCTGCCTGTGAGAGTTCTTATCGCTGTCTGTGCCTCGATTGTCTGCTACAAGTATAGCTTTTTGCTTGATAACATTTGTAACCCGAGCCCGAGATAAATCTCAAATTAATCAGCACTCGGAATAGATGCTCTGACTCAAAACTGTTGATTCGTGACATGAATTCCTCCAAAGTTCAGGCATCGAATTTTGAAAATACTATAAATTTGTCAAAAATTTGAACAAAACATTCGATTTGAAGCGGGCGCTTGGGAATACTTTTGGGAACTTACACATTGTTAGTGCAAGCTCTAGCTGTCAAGTCTAGTAAAAAATGGGACATACCCAATGCATCACAGGGCGCTCTTCGGTGCAGACGCCCATGTGCGTCTTTTGGAATGACACGAGGTCTATTTCCAAGGATGATGATTTCTAACTGGAGTTTTATGTTTGTTTGTTGCAATGCTGTGGCGGCTTATGGATGAGCGTCGGACTCTGCAACAGCTCCAATTAATAATCCTTTAGGTGTACGGCTCTTGGTTCTTGACTGGTGATTTATGCTTTATGTGCTTGATTATATTTTTATTATTATTATTTTGTTTGATGTGGTTGAGCAACACTTCACATTTGACGCATTTGATATGTTTCGATTCTTGGCAGTTGGCTGGGAAAAGCGTGTAATAGCGTTTCTTTTTATTAATGTTGCTATTGGCATATTATGTAGACTGAGCCATGCTAAATCGCAAACACTTTTAAACGCGATTGCCTCTTCCAGCTTTCGATTTATGCGTTTAACATTTACGACCTTTTTGTTGTTGTTGTGGTTTTTGTTATTTTATTGGCATCTGCTTTGCATTTCTTTTTGCTTATGATATGGATATGCTAAGTGGTTATGGGATGCAAAGTTGTTGTGCTTGTTGCCAGAATGCTGCTTTTTTATGCTTATTGTATTAATTTATTTCACTAATTGTGTAGGTATTTATATATTTAATAATTCAGCTTCAAGGTATTTTAAGGAACATTAGGGTTTTGGCAACGCACACATAAACACAGACACACATACACACACACACACACACTTCACTTGTTAGCGCTATCGGGCAGGTAAGTTGAAGAAGCGCGAGCGCCTTTTGACCGCAGCGCGTTTCTAATGTTGGGACAACGCTAACGACAACGATACCGACACCGGTTGCAATGTCAACGACAGTCCCAAATTAATTTATGACATTAATTTAGGAGACAGCGCGAGAATGAGAATGGCACTCCAAATTGAGCGGTCGAGTGGACGCTGGTCACTGGTCGCTGACCGATGGTCGTTGGTCGAGCAGTCGCCGTCTGTGTGTTCTTACGGCAGCCAAAGATGCGTCCTACTGATAAGGTATTAGCGACAACGGATGCGCCCCGTCGCCGTTTTATTAGTCGTGTGTATTATTTTTTATTATTTTTATTTTTGGGTGACGTTGATAACTAAATGCCAGACTCGATGGCACAGCTGCAAAATCGTTCCGTCGGTATACACGAGCGTAGAACTGTTGCCGTTTACTGCCTGCCGCACGTAATCAGCATCAGCCTGCTAGCCGGGTTCAGAGGTTATGCCCGTGGCTTAACACACAAACGGTGCGCAAAATTTCCGATTAAAACGAAAAAAATATTTGTATTAAATGCCCTGTAGATGTTGTATGTTGGATGTTGTTATTGTTGTCGGTGGCGGTGGCGGCGGCTACACGAGCGATGTGAAAAAACTGAACTGAACAGAACACAACAAACACAATGTACAACAATAATGCAGAAGACACGGCGATGACAACGATATATGTATACCAAAACGGAACTCGCGCGCACTCGACCAGTCAGCGTCGCTGCAAAACTGGGAATGTTTGTTCAGAATTCAAACTGCCCAACTGCCTGAGCTGATTGTTTTCTGTGTGTGTGTGTGTATTTGTATGTGGGCTTTGCTATTGCCAGCTCCCTTACACAGTTGCGAAGTCATTGCGCTCTCTCACATACATATTCAGACACGCAAACACACAACAAATGGCGGCGCTCTCAGCTGTTTACCGACAATATAGCGCGCTCGCTCTATTCCATTACTACCAGACCCAATTGCGTGCGTATGTGTGAGCTTGTGAGTACGAGTGTGTGTACGAGTGTTGTAGAGGGCGTGGTGTTATCTTCGGCAAGGCAGTCAGAGTCAGTCAATGTGCTCCACCGGCAGTGGCAGTGACGGTGGCAGCAACGGTGGCAACGGTGGCGGCGAGTTGGGGCTCAGGATCAAACTCTGACTGCCAAACATGAATAATGCAACAGCAGCAGCTAAAGCAATAACAACAACAACATTGCCGCCGATTGTGGCATCACTTGGACTCATGACAGGAATTTTGCGCTCGCAAAAGATGTTGGCAGCCTGCTGGCGGCGGCTGCTTCATACATACGTACATACATACATACATACATAAGTAAGAAGACGTCGCTTGTCGTTGTTGATATTCCTGTTGTTGTTGCTGCTACTCGAAACAGTGTGTAGGTTTTGCTTCGCAGCTATGGCGCTGGCAATGTTGTTGTTGTGGCTGCTGCTATAAAAGGCAAAAAGTTTTAAGAAAATCGAGCAGGTCTTATTTATTTAGATTTTTTCTTTTCGCATTTGCTTTTTTCCTTTTATATATTTTTTTTATACGGTTTTTGGTACTTTAATATTTTTTTTTTTTTGCTGTCGATTTCTTTTCTGCTACCTCTTCTGCATAGCCATTGTTGTTGTTGTTGTTATTGCTGTGTTTGTTTGATGGCTTATGGAAAATACGCAATTGTTGGAGGAAGAGAAGCAACGATTTTTATAAATTTTTCTTTACTACTATTTTAAGCGAGTATCGGATTCGCATTGTCAGCTTTTCAAACTTGGCTTGCCACGCTCGAGTGCTGAAATACAAGCACATAATATTACATGTATACTTTAGGACTTATGTATGTATGTATGTTTGTATGCATATACATAAATATATGATATAAAAGTTATGGCGAAATTATGTTTTGCTGTTCCCCTCTCATCTCATTCCCAATTTTATTTTAAAGTATCGACAATGTTTTGCATTTTTTGAGGTATTACTTGGAACGCTCCTGAGCCAGGTTGGTTTTTTTATTCAACTTTAAATCTTAGCAATTGTATAGCGTGCCACTTATGATGTATATCAGTTATTACTTAGTGTACTTAGAATGACAACTAATCCGAAATGGGACAAAATTCAGCTCTTCTTCTAGAGAGACATTTATTACATATAGTATATGTACATATGTACTATGTACTATATGTAATAATATGAACTAGAAAATCCTAAAACAACTTTCGGAGAAGACATCATTCTTCGATTGTACTCCTATTTTTTAGAAACTAGGACAAAATGGAACTCCTAAATTAATGATAAATTTATTTATTAATTTTTCCTAATATATTTTATTACTAAAATGATTCACAAACGTTAATAAAACATATAATATTCAAAGCATATAATATTCGAAACATTACTCATTCTTTCATTTTTTCTCGTAAGAAAGGTTGGCCCAAAGAAATTAAACTTTAAATTACTTTTGCTGAACTCTTCATAATTTTGTTTTGATTTTGTTTATAAACATATTTTTATACATACAGATATGTTTTTATTTATTTAATATATCAACAAATAATGCTGTCAATACAGTTTACTAATTTTAAGTTATAATTGAAACTTGAAAAAATAACAAAGACTCAACAATAACTATACAGTAATGTCTATTAACGCCTCCGACACTTTGGGAGAGTTTTATTTGCCATTTTGCCAGCTATGCCCCGATGTTCATATAACTGATCTAATATATCAGTTCATTTCAAAATGCAATTCCAAGGGATTCCGAAGGACGATGGACGTAACAACTTGGTTATTCAATAATTACACACTAAAGGAAAAATATATTAAAACAGAAAATAGAGTCTGGGCGAAAAAGCATTGAATAAAATTGTCAGCATTTTTTAATAATAAGTTCACATGAATTTACTAATGAATGAATCGCATATTGGAGTACATTTTTTATCAAGTGATATTGACATTTTCCTTCTTTAATTATATAATTTTAAAGTTTATTTTCAATCATTTCAGATATATGCTAATCCTAATCTGTTTATTTATGAATACTTCTCGTTAGCAAGCTGTAGAACAGTCCTTGGTATTGATTGTCAGAATGAGTTGATTATCCTCTCTCATGTCAGAGTTTTTTATCTCCATGTAGATTGAGAAGAAACTAAAGTGTTGCACTGTACTGTTTTTTCTTTATTGCCGGAAACTTGATGGTTTGGCTAATAGATTTTCTGAAGTGCGTCGATGGCTTTTAGTATATTTGGGTTAATGTTGATACTTTTGTATATGTTTATGTTTTTTATTTCGTTTGAATACAAATCCCTGACTTTGTTTGGCTTCGAGCCACATATGGCTGGCCGGCCGGCCTTATTACATTGGGCTTTTTTTTTGGTTGATATTTTCTATATCTTTTTAGATTATGAGTTTTTTTTTTCAAAATTTATTTATTGAGACTTTATATTTGTTGACCCAATTAATAAACAGTAACAATTAAAATTAAGGCAACATATACATATATCTACGATTATTAGGTTAACAAGGATTTTTGAATATAACACACTGCTGTTGAATCCGATTGTTTTTGTTTTAAGGTCTGAGTGTAAATAAATGTATTTCTATATAAACTATAGTATGTTAAGAACTTTACTTTTTTCATACGCCATGTGCGCAAGCAAGAAGAAGCTCATCCATTTTATGTAATTGTTGCCTAAGACTGATTATGCAAATAGTTGAAGCTTGAATTTGTGTAATTAACAGAAATACATAAATATGACGTTCACAGAATCCATTGTGGAAAATTTGGGAAATAATAAAGATAATAAAGTGCAGATTTGATTTGCAGAAACTTGTTAAATTAAGGACTATTTGAATATATGAAGATATGTATGTATGTGTACACTAAATTCAAGAGGGATCATCAATTAAAACAATTGATAGATGCTCCTCAGCTGACAATGTGATTTTTATGCAACAATAACGCGACGGTGTGTGCTGCTGGAGCCCTAGAATCGTCATCCTCGTCGTCGTCTTGTCGATACTGTCATTGAGTTTCGCATTTCGAAGTGAAAAAAAACAATATTCAGAAGTGAGGCGTGGCGGGGGCCTTTGGGGGTATGGATATGTTGCCAGCGCATTCATATGTACACCTGCCACTGCTGAGGGCATGTGTACACGTATGTTTGTGTGTGTGTGTGTGTGTGTGTGTGAAGAAAACAAGCATACGCACATACAAAGGCAGAGGCGCGCAAAAGTCCAAGTGGTGTTTGAAACTTTTTGCCTGCAATTGTGAACAGCAACAAAAACAACATCATCATACTTACTCGTATATGTACATATGTACATAAATACTAACATACATACATGTGTACATACATACATATATAGCAAAGAACAACAATGTGCGCGTTAAAATCTTTTCCAAGTCACAGTCGCTGTTGTTATTATTGTTTTTGTTGTTGTTGTTGTTGTTTCTGCTGCCGCTCAGTGTATTGCTTTTCTTTTTGTTGCTTTCAACGAGCAACGACGAGTACGAGTATTTGCTTTTTATTTCTCAACCTCTCCTGGTACTACATTTTTCTTGTATTGCCGACTTGTTTTATTTTTATTTTTCTTTTTCACTCGCGCTCGAAAGTGTTGAATGTCTGCGGAAAGTTACAAAGGTGGTGTCGTCGATGGCGAGCCCAGCCACAGCCACAGCCCCAGCCTCAGCCTCAGCTTCAGCCCCCATCCTCCGCCTCCTTCGTATTCCTTTTGAGTGCTGCTGTTGTCGTCGCCATCGCTGCTGCTGCTGCTGCTGCTGCTGCTTGTGATGCTGCTGTTGTTGTTGCTTTTACCATTGCCCATTGCCCCTGGGGCGCGCTCTTCAACATTTTCTGTGCTCCGTTTTGCTGAACATGAAGTTTGCATTTTTCGCAGCAGGGCTTTTGGCATTCATAGGCGGCTTCCTGGCACGTTTTGTATTGGGTGTGGTTGGCTCACAAACACACACTCTCACACACACCCACACACCCATAGGCAAGCCTACGAGCTGGCAGTTGCACGATACCTGCCCTATCTAACTTGACTTTGTCTGTATTTTGCGTTGAATTTGTTATTTCAACTTTTTGTTGCCTGACACAGCAGCCGCCAGCCTGCCTATCTATGCAGTATGCAGTATGTAGGCGCAGCCATTTTAAAAAGGACTCGAAACCAGGGCTTTGCTTTAAAAACGTACAAAGTTTTTGTTGTTGTAGAGGCAGAACCAACATCGGCATCGGCATCAGCATCAGCAATGGGAATAGTTTTCACTGCACTTGGCGAAAGAGCAAAAAAAAAAAAAAGAAGGCATAGCAAGACATTATGCTACATTCAAATTCCACTAGATCCTCTATTTTTTTGTGCACTGGGAATAGTCATCGTATAGGATATATGAAGGATTTAAATTATTTTGATAGATATATGTAAGAGAGATATGAGATATTGTGGGCAAATACATTATTCATAAAACAAACCTGCAATAATAACTAAAAAAGAATCAGAATCGTGGGGAAGTTTTATTTTCTAAGCCCATGCTAAGCTATGGTCGTACTCACATCTTAAACGTAAGAGATTAAATATGAAACACTAAAAAAACTTGAAAAAATTACTAATAGCTTAAGAAATACAAGAAAACCAGATACAAGCGATTAAGAGAAGACATAAAAGCTGGGTGTTGTTGGAAGATTGTCTCAGATAAGATAAAGCAACAAGAAAAAT